AGGTCATACCTGATTTTAGGCTTCTAAGCATGGGCATAGTTTGGGGGCAGGTGCAGGGAGGTTATTGCCTCCTCCCCAAACAGAGGCAAGGTGTGTGTGGGGGTGTCACATGGGGTCACGTGCCACTCCCCCCCTGCATTTCTGCAAATGCTAAGCTGCCCTGCAGGGCTTGCTTTGCTTGGCCTGCCTGGGAGGGGGCTCTGACCTTCCCACGCTGCGCCTCCTTCCCCACACCCTCCCTGGCATGTTTCAGTTCAAGGGGAGCGGAGAAGGCGGTGGGATGGAGCAGCTGTTCTCCTGCGCTTGGGTCCCTGCCTTGGCAGCTGGACACTGCCTCCTTGGTCCCAGTGCCTGTCTGTTTCCTGTACAATGGTGAGTGTCCGGGGGGGAGGGGGGGTAGGAGGGGGCGAGGTGCTAGGGGAAGGAGGGTGTGTGGAAGAGAAAGGGATGGGATGGGGGGGACGCAAGAGCCTGGCACGTGGTGTCCCCTCGGTGGTGGCAGCAGCCCCTGCAGGGAGGCGGCCCCAGCAGCACCAGAGCAGTGACATCGCTGCAGCAGCTGGTGCTGGAGTGTCGGCCAGCAGCAGCTGGGGCTCCCCAGTTAAGCAAGCATATCCGCCCCCCAGCACCGGCAGCCCGAGTACCCTCAAGGCCGGGGGAGAGAGCCAGTGAGCCAAGAAGACTGGCTTCAGCGTTCACATGCGGACGCGTGCATGTGCACACGTGCGTGCTTTGCCCCTCTCCCCAAATATAGCAGTCACACAATGCCTACGCTTGTAAGTACAACTGACGCTGGAGGGACTACTCCTGGGGATAAAATTAGGCAAGTACTAAAGTGCGGTGCTGGGTCGGGGCTAACCCAAAGGTGCTTGAATTAGGTTCTTCTGTATCTAAGGCTTCATTACTTTTTACAAAATATTACAGTAATTTTAGTAGCATGCTGTGAAATACAATAATAAATAACTGAGACTAAATGACATGAGTCAACATAAATTTGGTAATCCACAATGGGTGTCTCAGACACTGACGTGAATTAATGTTACATTATTCTATTGTATATGGAAGATATAAGAAGATTTTTCCACAAGAGGGGCATTTTGACAGAATTCTTCCTTTAAAACCATTTTTGCTTCTACTCCAAGATCTCCTTTTTTGTTCTGATCCTGGCAATCACTCTTATACATTGTTCTTACCAGAAGTGTAAAGGAACCAGAATGTTCACCAGCACTTTATAACAGGACAGATTGCAATGACACTATGAATCCCTGCTCCTTGGGTCCTGCCTATACATGAACAGTAAAATGCTCACTGAGTGCATTAATTTTTCAGCAACCCTCTAGATCACTCCACCTACATTTGTGAAGTAACTCCATCAAAAAATCACATTTCTGGTCCCTTTTTGGATGCATGTAACTTTTGGAATAAGGGTTTCCAAAGTGATTACTTACATTTATGAATCCAAAATTTGCTGTTTCTATGAGCACTCCTACCAGAAAATTCATTTGATAGAACATTCAGAGAGAGCAAACACAAAGATGGGCTCAGCCAAAATGAACTTCTTTTAACATTTGAAAAAAACAATCAGAAAAATTGTTTGCAATATTCGAACAGTTCTAACTGTGATTAGTCTGTAATGACAATGATTGCCTACTGCTGCCTAGGTAGGCTGTATACTAACCCTTGTAGAATAATTTCCACTATCTGGACCAAGATGTCCTGCATGCAACATTTGAGTCTAGAATTTCAGAATTACAACTGCAGAACTAATCTTCGTTCATCTGGATTTGTTTAAATCCATCCAACCCGTCTTGTAGTATAGAAACCACTACAGAACTAACTGAAATTTTTTTATAATCCAGTTTAGAAACTTATTCTGATCCACAGAGGCAGACTAACAGTCTCCATTTACGATGAAGCTATTATTGTTCTTTTCCTGCCTTTCTTCTATAAGGTAATAAGGAGTCGACATAGCTTAGGTCGACTTACCCCAGTGTGTTCACTGTGCTGCGTCAACAGGAGACACTCTCCGGTCGACTTCCCTTACTCTTCTCGAAGAGCTGGAGTACCAGGGTAGACTGCAGAACGCCCTGTCATCAATTTAGCAGATCTTCACTAGACAGGGTGACCGTATTTCCCTATGCTGAATACGGGACTCGTGGTAAAATTACTCCTATTCAAGCGAGTTCAATAGCGATCGATCAGAACTATGCAGTGCAAACGTTCAAATTAACATCAAGGTGACTGAGCTCCTGTGAAAAAGAAATGCTGCACAGCTGGATTCTTTTTATTTGCTTTCTTATCTTTAAGGCTTTAGGGTTCACATGGGGAGAGGTGACACACACACATTCCCGTACACCACTTTCACACAGGGAGGGTGACTGACTGACCTGACCCCCCTGCCTGGCGCTCTCCATCCTCCATGCCTGGCTGGGCCCCCGGGATGGACCTGCCTCTCCTGGTACCTGGTGCTGCGTCTTCCTGAGGCAACACATGTGGGGGCACCTGGGGTCACGTGCCCCCCCCCCCAGATTTCTACCAAGGTTCATGCCAGAATGTAGCCAGCAGCAGCCTTTTGGCACTGTCTATGGGGGAGGGAAAGGACGTGAGGTGCTTCCAGCTGCAGGAGAGGAGGATGGAGGGAAGGGATGACCTGGCCTGTGTCTTTGCAGCACCCCTCTTCTCCCTGTGGCTGGAATCAGCTTATCCCTTCCTGCCTGCACAGTGTCGAAAGGCAGCTAACATCTCCAGGCTGCTGCTGGCCACCGACATAACCCAGCTGCCTCCTGTCCTCTGGCTACAATGCGGGCAGGAAGGGATTAAGCCAGTGGTGGGAAACCTGCGGCCCATCAGGGTAATCTGATTGTGGGCCATGAGACATTTTGCTGATGTTGACCGTCCGCAGGCACGGCCCCCTGCAGCTCCCAGTGGCCACGGTTCACTGTTTCTGGCCAGTGGGAGCTGTGGGAAGCAGTGGCCAGCATGCTACTGCGGCACACTGCTTCCCACAGCTCCCATTGGCCGGGAACAGCGAACCCTGGCCACTGGGAGCTGCGGGGGGCTGTGCCTGTGGACGGTCAGTGTAAACAAAATGTCTCGCGGCCCACAGTCCGATTACCCTGATGGGCCCCACATGTGGCCTCTGGGCTGCCCACCACTGGATTAAGCCCTAAGGATGCATTATGCACCAGGCCCCAGGGAACCTGACTGCAGGGGCTTCAGCAAACCCGACCAGAGAGGTGGCTCAGCAGGGGAAGGTGCCTAGGGTACAGAGCAGCCCCACGCTCCCTGGGGGCAGGACCCAGAGCGGGGTGGGCGGGTGAAGAGGGTGCTAAGCCCCTGCCCAGAGAGCTGATGTGGAGCCTGCAGGGCCAGGGCGTGAACAGGCTGGATATTGCTCCCCACCCCTGCCACTCCAGAGCTTAGCTGAGGGGTGGAGAGGCTTCCCTGTGCCAGTGCTTTGTGGGGCTTTGGCACAGGCAGGGCTCGGCTCCTCCTGGCCAGCGCCCTGGGCCAGAGGGTCTTGGGCTTTCCCTGGGCGCTGGCCCAGCAAGAGGCAGTGGGGGAAGGAAGGCGCCTGCCGGCCAGGCTGTTGATGGGCTGAGCGCTCCGACCGGTCCGGGATATAGAGGAGAAGCGGGGCTGGGGGTGTGAAGGGGCAAAGCAGGGAGAGGACAGTGAGAGGGGGAGCACATAAAGGGCTGATGGGTGGGCAGTAAAGGTGACACATAATCAGTCACTGCCTGGCACCTGCCTGCACTCACCAGCCATCACAGATCGAAGCGCGCAGCCAGTGCTGGTTGGAAACGGGACAGGGACAGGGCCCTGCTGGCTGAGAGCTGGCATGCAGTGGGGGCTGCGCTGACGGACCAGCAGGGGGAGTGGCTGGCCTCGCGCACTGCATCTTTGCCCCCCACCAGCCTTCCACACCCACCCCCATCATTGGCCACTGGACTCCCCGCCCCACTCACTGCCGCTGGGCGGGCGGCTGGCGACCAGGGATCTGGCCAGCACCAGGACCCGCCAGTACTGATGGCGGGGGAGACAGAAAATATGGGACAATTTACTCATTTTTAAGAAAAAGTCGGGACACCTGCAGGCGGGCTTAAATTCGGGACTGTCCCTTTAAAAACGGGATATCTGGTCACCCTATCACTAGACCCACTAAATCGATCCCTGCTGCATCGATTGCAGCAGCATCAGTCTCCCCACAGTGAAGTCACCTATCGATTTCCTCTTCCACACTCTATTTCATCACAATGAAAAATGTGTTACTGAGTATTCTATTGATATTGTAGTGTTACTTTTTTTGTGCTATATCCTGTTATCCTTACTTGGTTTCTACTCAGTCCTTACTCAGGAGAAGTCTTAGCGAAGTCAGTAGGAGTTTGCCAGAGTAAAGAGCTGGTAAATGCTGAGTAAGAACTGCCTAATGTCCTTTGGATTTGGTTCCCCATACACCACAGAAACAAAGAAATGTGGGCCCAAAGAGGAGGTCAAGAGTTCATCTAGTTCACCCTCCCTCCCCTGCCACCTCCCGTGCTGAGGAGACAGTTCAGTTCAGGGTTACACCATCCTTCTGCTCCTCTTTGTGAAACTCTCCATATCAAACAATTCTGTTTAAAAACTCTTGCAGCATGTTCAGAATACAAGGGTGATATCATTCCCTGTTCAGGAGTAGTAAAGTACTGAAACAGCAGTGAGTGCTGCAGGTCAAGCTTAAGTACACTGGCAGAGACATAGTGTGTGTGGGTAAGGAGGCGGTGCAGCATCTGTCTGCACCCAGCCTAGCTCTAGGCAGTGTTATCCATCTTCCATTTTCACGATTACAAACATGCAGACCAAAACAAAAGCACATTTGTTCCCTCAGCTTTTACTGCACAAAGAATGCACACAGGCCATCCCTTATGCTTCATCTCTCTGCCACTGTGGGAACTTCCATTTTATCTCCAAAAACACAAGCAAGACCCAAGTCATTGGGTTGCAGCTGTAGCTAAACATACCTTTAGGTCAGACACATCCCTGTAGCACTGTTCAGAACGGGTGTGGTCAGACAGCTGCACATTCCAGAAACATGGAAGCTGGTAGACAAGGAACGGGTTCTGCTTGATGACCGCATTGAAGATATCCTGGCAGACAAAAACAGAAAAACAATCAGGTACACCATTTCAGCAGACAGATGATCAATCACATCTCTCTGAACTGACTCTCTTCAGTCCTTTGCTCAGAGAGCAAGTGAGAGGGAGAATAGGGAGTTATTACATTAAGCTGTCAGCTCTGCAAACCTAGCTTCACAATTCTGCTTTGGTTAAAGGTGCTGGAACCCCAAGGGCCGACTTGTAAGTCTGAACTAGAGGAAAACAGACTCTTTTTCAAGCAGAATGCAAGCAGACTGCACCTGGGTTTTTGTATCATTGGCCAAAACTGTTTTTTCTCCATCATGGGAGTACTATGTGGCAGATGGTGAACTGCCTGCTGTTCCTAAGTACAGCATCAATTTTCAATAAAAGAAAGAAGAGCGATCCTGGCAGTTACTGTCCCTTATGATGAACTACCAGTAGGAGTATTAGTTATTATTTTATATTGCTCGCAAGTGCTCTACGTGTTTCACAGAAAACACATGTGAGACAGGGCTACAAAACAGTTTACAGTGTAAGTGCCACTATGATCTGCTCTTATGAAGTCATGCAGTGGGAGGGGAAAAATGGTCTTTGTGCTTAAGATACTAGAGCAGGGGTCGGCAGCCTTTCAGAAGTGGTGTGCCGAGTCTTCATTTATTCACTTTAATTTAAGGTTTCGCGTGTCAGTAATACATTTAACGTTTTTAGAAGCTCTCTCTCTATAAGTCTATATATTGTATAACTAAACTATTGTTGTATGTAAAGTAAACAAGGTTTTCAAAATGTTTAAGAAGCTTCATTTAAAATTAAATTAAAATGCTGATCTTATATTGCTGGCCCGCTTAGCCCTCTGCCAGCCTGGGGTTCCATTCACCTAGGCTGGCAATGGGCTGAGCGAGGCCTGCGGCCAGGACCCTGGCTGGCAAGGGGCTGGCAGCCAGAACCCCAGACCAGCAGCGGGCTGAATGGGGCCGGCGACTGGGACCCCAGACCAGCAGTGGGCTGAGCGGCTCAGCCCGCTGCCGGCCTGGGGTTCCGTCCGCCGGCTCCTGCCAGCCAGGGTCCCGGCTGCCAGCCCCGCTCAGCCCACTGCCGGTCTGAGATCCTGGCCCTGCCCATATAGAGTGGGTACCTACCCTCTCCCTGGTTCTAGCCCATTCTCTTCCTCTCTCTCTGCACTGAGCTGAGGGTGGGAGTGCACTGAGCTCAGGGCTGGGGGTTGGGGTGTAGGGTCTGGCCAGGAGCTAGAATGAGGGAGGGGGCTCATGGTTGGAGCAGGAGGTTTGGGTGTGGAGCGCTTACCTGGGAAGCTCCCATTTGGTGCGAGGGTACAGGTGGGAATGTAGGGGGTGGGGCAGGGGGGTGCAGGAGCTCCCATTTGGTGCTCAGGGTGGGGGTGGGATTGTGGGGGGTGCAAGAGTCAGGACATGGGGTGTGGAGGGGCTGGGTATGTGTGGGGGGTGCAGGAGTCAGGGCAGGGAGCTGGGGGTGTGTGAGGGGGTGCAGGGGTCAGGGCAGAGGGCTGGGGTGTTTGGGGAGGTGCAGGGGTCAGGGCAGAGGGCTGGGGGGGTGGGCTGGGGTCGTGGGGGTGCTCCCAGCCCCTTGCCCTGAGCAGCTCAGGGCAGGGGGCTGGAGGCGATATGCCCTGATTCCACCCCCCTTCCCCACGGCCCTGTCCCCACCTCTTCTCCACCTCCTTCCCAGAGCAGCAAGCGCGCTGCGGCTCCGCTTCTCCCCCTCCCCTGCAAGGGCCATCAGCTGATCCGCGGCAGGAAGGGAGCGGAGGAGGGGCAGGAACCCAGCACGCTGGAGGAAGAGGCAGGGGAGGGGGAGCTTGCCTGCCCTGCAAGGAGAGAATGGTGGGCGGGTGGGGTGAAGAAGAGCGAGCCGGGCCGGGCAGGATTTTTAATGGCACGCTGCTGCCTGCCGGGGTCCCAGCCTGGGTTTGGCAGCGGGCTGAGCGGGGCCGGTGGTTGGGACCTGGCAGGCAGCAGCGTGCCATTAAAAATCGGCTCGTGTGCCGTCTTTGGCACGCCTGCCTTAGGTTGCCGACCCCTGTGCTAGAGTAAGAGTCCAGGGATCTCGGTTCAATTCCCACCTCTGCTACGTGTTCTCCATGTGATTTTGGGCAAGTCACTTATGATCTGACTCAAAAGCCACTGAAATCCGTGGGAGTCTCTTCATAGACTTCAGTGGGCTTTGGATCAGCTCCTTAGTTTCTCTGGGCCTGAGTTCCCCATCAGTAAAATAGGGACAGTAATCCCTCCTCACTTAATAGGGGTATTGTGAGGATAAATACATTAATGTTTGTGAGATGCTCATATTCTGCAGCAATGCAGGCATCAGAAGTATCCAGAGACTGACAGAATCAAAATCACCATTTGTCAAAATGAAAATAACAAAAGCAGTAGAGAAAGAAACAGTTTTTTCAAGCTTCAAAAGTCTGGAGTCTTTCAAAGAAAGAATGAAAGGCTGAAGTAAAGGCTATAAAAAAGAAAAAGTCTCCAACTGTGTCCCTTTAAAAAGCATCTGTGCATCAGAAGTAAAAATTTCAGTCTGTAAATAGGAGTCTTACGGATAAATCTCTATCTCCCACATTCAAAAATTTCTCCAGAAAGACATGGCAATGAGTTCTGCCTGTTTAAGAGAACATGGCAGGACACCTACCTATCTACCTTCCTTCCTCTCTCCCTCCCCACCCCCAATCCAAGGAGCAATGTTTGTAGTAGGACTTCAAAACTGCCTGCCCAACCCACCTGGTCAGCCAGCGAGGTTGACAGCATGCTCATTAACTCTCTTTCAGCAGTGAGTCTCCACATCTGCTCCCATTTCATCTTTCGCAACTTATCCAGAAGTAGCAGGATAACCCCTAAAGAGACAATGCAATGCAGGGAAAGAGAAGCCATAATGTAATGGGCAAAGCAAGGACCTTCATGCCTAAGTGTTGCATCACTGCAGTCAAAAGAAGAACATTTTGCAAATACCAGAGTTGGAAGCTATTCCATCTGCCAACCCGTGCTTTTGATTGAAATCAGGATAAATATTTTCATGATACATTATTTACGGACATAAACTAGCTCTAATAAATAACAATTTTGAAGGAGAATGTATTATAATTATTATTATTAAAGTACTTCTCTGTTACAGTGGTGCCCAAAGGTTCCACTCAGGATTGTTACCTCATTGTGCTGGGTGCCATACAAACACAATAAAGTAAGACAGTGTCTGCCCCAGAAAGCTTACCACCTCGGTAAGGATAAGATACAACAGGGAGTTATAGAACATCATGTAGATGGGGAAAACCGTGCTTGAAATGCAGAGGAAAAACAGAGGGGCAACCGACAAAAGGAAGTTGGTTCATCTAGACTCAGCAAAGGGGCAGCTGGGCCAGAGGGTGGTGTTACAGGCAGAGAGGGGAGCAGGTGAAGAGCTGGGGGTGGGGAAAGGTGCTGAACATCCAGCAGGCCCATTACATTGACCCTAGAATTAAGCCTGATTTCAGTATGACTGGCCTGGACACTAGGGTATTGCTGACAAACTGAACTGGTAACACCTGGTCACATTAAAGAGAGTATTTTCCAAGTCAGCTTTTTCATTCCAAAGGGGCTTAGATGGTAGTTTCCAAGTGAGAAAAAATGTGTCTCATGTCATTCAATAATGACCCCACTGCAGCTGCTTTAAGAAGGGAAGTTATGGGCTCCAAAGGGAACCCTGTCAGATTACTCTCTGCCAGAGCAATGGTTGTGATAATGCTGGTTCTTGAGAATGGGTGTGTCTGTAATCAGCCAGATTCTGCCATCCTTACTCACACTGAGCAGAAGATTAGACCATGAAAGGTCCTGCTGATTTAAAGGAGTAGACATTTAATTCTGACCCCATTAAGTTTTGCCATTGACTTCAGTGGGACTGGGACATCACCCCTAAAGTGAAAAGTATTACTCAGTGTAAGCCTGGTAGAATCTGCTTCCATGTATTTATTTTAACCACTTATGGCCAGATTGCGAATCCCTTACTTCCAATGGTGAGCAGTTACTTACAGGAGCAGTCCCACTGACTCCTATGAGATCACCATTGTAAGTAAGGGAGGGGTCATAAACTAACCCTCGTACAGAGCCTATCACTGTGGCAATGAGCATTAAGCAAGGAAAAACAGGAGAGAGAACAGGATCCTCAGATCAGAAAGTAACGTTTAGCGGGAAAAGAGCTCTACATTCATTCTTCTTCTTTGGTGGTTTTGTTTCTGGATAGAATTATACTACTTGTGGATGCAGAAAATGCAGTAGAAGCAATGTAGCTGGATTTAAGTAAAACCTTTAACAGAACACCTCACAAAACCTTACTTGAAAAAATTAATTCACATGGACTTAGATAAGAACGCTGTCATGGGGAACGAAAACTGTCTGAAGGACCATAAACAAAGAGTACTGATAAATGGCAATGTATCATGTTGGTGGGAGGTGTCTAGTGGGATCAGTGATAGGTTTTCATTGGTGTTCTGGAAGAAGGAGTAAACAGAATATTAATGACATTTGCAAGTGATACTAAACTGAAGGCCTTGTAAAAATTAGCACATTTTAATGATAACTTACGGGGATTATAGCAATTACCCTCAAATATTTGAAGAAGCAAATACCAAACAGCGAGAAAAATTATTTGGGGGAGCCCAAGGGGATATAAGTAGAAGTAAAAGAAAGAAATTATGAAAAAGGAAATAAATGTAGGCTGAATATTACGAAAAACATCTTAATCTACCAAGGGAAGTGACAGAAGCCCCATTGCTTCATAGGAATGCACCAGCTGTAGAATCACATAGTCTCCAAACAGCTCTCTATGAGAAGACTCAGCTAGGAAATTGCCCAGCACTCAAGTGCAGCTCCCCTCTGGAAAGTATGCCCAAAATAATACAGCCTTGCGCTGTAGAGAAATCTATACAATGGAAACTCATAAATTCGCCTCCTCTCTCAATGTGGAGGAAGATATGCACAACTTCTTGCCCCCCCAGTTATAAATTGCACAAACTGGGTTTAATAATAAACAAAAGCAAGTTTATTAACTATAAAAGGCAGATTTTAAGTGGTTATAAGGAATAGCAAACAGAACAAAGCAGATTACCAAACAAATAAAACAGAACATGCATACTGAGCTTAAGATCTTAAAGAGGCTGGTTTCAAGAAGTAATTTCTCATCCTAAATGTTGTTTTAGACAAGTTGAAGAATTCCTGTAGCTTAGAGTTTCAGTTATTTCTCTTTAGAGACTAGACTTCTGTCTTTGTCTGGACTCAGCCCTTGCCTTTCCCACCGCTCAGTTCCTTTGTCTCTTCAGGTACTCTCAGCAGTCTTTCTTGTTGGGCAGGAAGGCAATGGAGAAGAGCCCTGTTTGCCTTACTCCCCAGCTTTAAATAGAATTTACATAAGGCGGGAGGCCTTTGTTTCCAGTGGAAAAGTACCAGTAGTGTCCCAGGTGGTGTTTAGTACCAGGTGATATGACCACATGACCTAGCAGAGTCACCACAATTTTCCAGGATGCCTCTCAGGAAGTAGAGAGAGATTAGTATCTTTAAAGTCTTATAGTTTCTTCCTAATGGCCCATCAAGGCTGATGGCCTGTTGTCTGGTGGGTGTTTCCCAAGTACACACCCATTTGTAATTGTTACATAGTCAATATTCCTAACGTTAGATACAGAAATGATAACATGCATACACATTGGATAATCACATTCAGTAAATCATAACCTTTCCAATGATACCTTACAAGACCCATCTTGCATAAAATATATCTCAGTTATGCCATATTCACAACGTAAGCATATTTCCATAAAGAATATGGGGTGTAACGTCACAAGTAGAACTACTCATCCCAAATTAGGAGAAAGCCACCACATGTTTGAATCTGATTGAAATTTGAGAATTGAAATCTTTTGCTGCCTAGTGAATTGTGCAAAAGAAAAAATATATTCTGGCAGTGTAGTCTGTGGCCTAGTTTACTGCTGTTCTCCACTTCAGTCCATCTGGTTCCTAAGCACACTGGAGCCTTTACTGGAGGAATCCCCTTTTATCTTCAATCTGCCTTTCTGCTGTAAGTGGTTATCCTGGAAATGGACAAACTGCCACAACATGCCACAATACATTTTTGCCAAACTGTTCGTTTTCTATCCAACATAATTGAATTTTTTGTTCCAAGCAGATCTGTGAGCATTGGACTGGAAACAGAGCTTGAATCCTATCTGGAGTTTGCATGTGTGTGTGTGTGTGTATGTTTTTGAGCGCATTACTGTGGATTGGCCGAGATTGAAGGTCAGTAGGCAGCAAATTCTTCCCACTGCAGCAGCAGATTAGGTGAGATAACCTACAGCAGGATGGGAGGTTATTTCCAAATGGCAAGAACTGTAAACTTTGTTGTAACAATATAATATACCCGAGGCAATGAACTATCCATTTATTTAAAAAAAAATCTCATTGCAGGATTCAATTCATTCTGCTACATTTGTAAAATGTGTTTTATTATACATCTATATATATGTACTGCTAACTTTTGCTTTCTAATAAATCTTCTTTAAAAGCCCAATCTGTGGAAGGATGGGGAAAGTACTTTACATCTGCAGTATTCTCCATTTATTCACCCTCTCCCAGTCTTCTGTCAGGCAGTACTTTACAGTGTCACAACTAAAGAGATTACGAGTTCCTGAGGGGTTATCACAGTTGCACCTGAATGGCAAAAGCTGCAGGGAAGGGAGGGGAGAAACCAGAGCAGATGCATATGTATATGAATTATGATCCAATGCAGCACAGGAAACATGTTCACGGCTTTTAAATACAATGCTATTGATAAATTAGACTGATAACTTCTAGTCTAATTTACCTAAAGGTTTGGTTTAACACATTGATACAATCACCATTCAGGGCTTCTGAATTGCAGAATTGTACTTTACTGCCACTGTAAAAATAAAGGGGAATATTTATAGCAGTTTAAACATTCATTAAAATTATACAATTCTCATTAGTATTAGTGAGAATAAGAGATTTGCATTGAGGGGAGAGTTAATTCAATTCATTGACTTCATCTTATTTAGCGTAAAAGCAAAAATAAATGTGAATAGGAAACTTTTAAAATGATAATGCAAAAGATCAGTGCTTTCTCTTTATAATCCAGTGCACTTTCATAAAGTTCTTCCATTGCTAAAAGGACACAAAATCAATGTCCCAGCATCCTGTAAGTCTCAACTAGCTCCCTTAGACACTTAGAATGTAGACAAAGTGCTTGGGACCATAGGAGAAAAAGATTTGCCTCAGGTGCCCGCTCCCAGAGCCAAATTGACTGAAATTTCAGGCTGGATTCAAGATGACAAACCAGCAGAATGCAGAGGGCTCAGGGATTTACCCTCAGCTGCTGTGCTGGGCGAGGAAGAGGTTAGGACCCTCCTCCCCCAAAAGGAATCTTTCAGGAACATCTGGCCCCAGTTATGGAGCTTTTCATCTTTAGATGAGAGTGTATCATTTTCTTTTCCCCACATTCCCAAACAGAAGCAGAAGGAAAAGTCTAGCAGAAAGAAAACACAAAGAGAAAAGGGGGAATCCACTGGCTTAGGAGTATTAGCCAAGCTATGATTAACCGCAGAATGCCTCACTATAAAAAACAAGCCCAGGCAAATATTACAAAGCTGTGAATGCCTTGAAGAGCTCTTTGAAAAGCTCTCCGGTTCATTGACCATTCTGTTTCTGTGGGGCTTTAATATTTTTTGGGTTTCTCTTTCCTTGTGCCTTATTACTAAGGACCATTGACATGTTAACGGATTCTTTGCTTCTTAGAAGTTCATTTACTCCTACTGCTCCATGGGTCTCAACCTGGGCCATCTGAAGTGTTACAGCCCCT